GGATAATCTTTATGGGCAAAGAGGTCACTTTTTTCCTTTTGTTGCCATTGTTACTATCTGATAGCTAGTCTGTCAGTGATGGGCTGCTTTCTGTTTCAATATTTATTTAGGCCAAGAGTATCCTGCAGTCGTAGAGTTTGCTCCCTTTCAAAAGATTTCGAAGAAGAAGCTAAAGAAAAAAGATGCCAAAGCTGGGAGCATTGAAGAAGGTAAAATACATTAGAGTCTATCCTGCTCTAAAGCTGTCCTAAATACAGTTTGTCATTCTTACATGTCATTCTTACATATTCTGGATCTGGGTCAGATCCAGAATATAAGCGGTTCTTGGAGAATTACTCCTGTGACGAGGAGAAGTCTATGGCCAACCCTGAGACACTGCTAGGAGAGATAGAGGCCAAGACCAGAGAGCTCATAGGTACAGTAAAATATCTTCATGTGTCCATCTGCCTACTCATAGCATACCACAGATTTTTATATATTGATTAACTGATTCTTTTGTTTCTTGATTTTAGCCAAACGGACGACACCGCTGCTGGAGTACATCAAAAATAAGAAAATTGAGAAACAGGTAGGAAGGCGAAGCTATCTGCAAAGTGTTTTTGAAATGTGAAACATCTATTTCAAGCTGTCCCATCTTCCTCGACAGAGAATAAGAGAGGAGAAGAGAGAGGAGAGAAGAAGAAGAGAGCTTGAAAAGAAGCGGCAAAGGGAGGAGGAAAAGAGAAAGCGGCGGGAGGAGGAGAGACGCAAGCGAAAAGAGGCAGAGAAGCAGAAGAAATTGTCTGACAAAGACATTAAAATTAAGGTAGCCAGTCAGCATAAAAATCTCATTAAATAACCCTTGTTGTTTAGATCATGCAGTTTTTTTCTGTATTATTTGTGCTCCTTCAGCTCCTTAAGAAAAGTGACCGGGATGATGATGTGGATTCAGACCGAATGAAGGACAAGAGTGACACTGGAGAGACAGACAGAGGCAAATGGGAGAAAACTGGAGGACAAATAAAGTCAAAGGACCCCAAAGACAAGTAAGGACTGTGAGATCATTCAGTCATGTTGACTGGTTTTGATTTTGGCTGACAGAATTAAATCACTACTAGTTAAAATACGGCACCCCTATGGACAGTTTTCAGACATATATATGTACCAAAACATAAATCAATACCGTAAATATTTTGATTGCATTTACCATAACATATTATCCACAATATTTTATGTATTCTAAAGGACAATCATTTCATTGATCTTTGTAGCATTAATATATAGTTAATAATTACAAGTTGTATTGCAGAAGAAAAAAAAAAACTTTAAAAAAGCTTCCATGATGTCTTATAATGCAAATCCTTTGCAACTAGCGTTCTGGTGTCTAACCTGGTGTTTCTGCAATCTATATTCTGACCACTAGAGGTCAGCCTGAGAGTGACAAGGAGCAGCGAGAACAGCATGGGCGCAGGCAGAGAGATAAGGATCACCGTGGGAAAGATGAAGAGAGGAAACGACAGAGGCATCACTATGAGTTTGACAAGTTCATGCGGCGGAAGGATGAGACCAAATGGGGGAAGGGCTACTGCCAGGACCGAGCAAAGAAAGAAGGACACCATCATGGCTATTCCTACTGTCCTGACAGTGGAGACAAGATAGGAAAGGAGGAGAGAGAGGACCTGGGTAACAGGAAGGAACGCCTCCGAAACAAGGTGAGCGAGAAGGTGAGCATGAGAATGGGGAGAAGGCGATCGCTGATTGTTTCATCACTAATTTGTTCATCTGTCACGGTGTTGACTTGTTTCAGATATTGATTTATGTGTGACTGTCTCCATCTGATAGTAGGCCAGCTCATGTTTCTTCCAAGCAAGCCTGTGAAAACACTATTAAATGCATCATAATCAAAAATATCATCAGTGGGTTTTTCAACTTTTCTTTTTGCTCCTGCCAGACTCTCAGACCTGTGAAACCCACACTGTTGTTTGAAAGCTGTCAGTTTCACAGCTTCATTTGTGTTTAGCGCTAGGTGTCAGTTAGTGTAGCCTCAGGCTTCAAGCAGAGATGATGCCAGCAGCTGTAAATTCACTACTTATTTTTGTTTGCTTTTGTTCTTTTTCAGCCACACGGTTTTCAACCCCCAAAATAACAATTTTTAATACCCTATTATTTGAAGCAATTTACCAGATTCTGTGCAACTCCCACTGGAATCACAAAATACTTCAGTAGAGCTTTATATGCTGCAGTTTCACCCAAAAGAACTGTGAACTTGCTTTGTTGTGTATGAATAAGCAGATCCCTTTTAGAAATTGAATGAATGAATGGTATTTAACCTTGGAGATAGTTACTGCAATCACCCATAGTGTGCACTATTGTAATCACAAATTGCAAGCAACCACACATAGTAGGTAGGCTCAGTGTAATCAAGTTGCTACTATATAGCGTGTACTTCGGCTTCTCAGTCAAAACTACACTTCCTTCTTCACGTTCAGCTTTTAAAAAAAGAACAAGATGTTGGTGATGGTAAAAAAATGTTCAAATAGATGTAACCTATGAACATTGTAAGACAAAGGAAAGGAACAAGCGCAGATATATTCTATACCATTGTGTATTCATACTGTATGCTACCTGTCTCTCCCATGTCCCTGCGCTCTTTTCTCCCTGCAGGACCGTCCAGCCATGCAGCTCTATCAGCCAGGCGCACGCAACCGGAAGCGCATGAGCTCGGCAGGCAAAGGCTACGACTGCATCCCTGTAGGCCACTCGCCTGAATCCAGGACGGAGCACTGTTATGAGGTTGCAACCATGGCAACGGGGCTGGAGAAAGGTTTTGAGAAAAGTAAAGATGAGCAGTGAGCAGTGTGGATGCTTTAAGGGGTAAAAACGAGTTAATTATTCATCCTTCACCTAAGTTAGTGGTGACAGATTCGACTGGTTATCACTGAGCTTTCAAGATGAATATACCCCACTGAGAAAGAAAAAGCACTTCAAAAGCAGCCTAGTAGTAATTTTTCTGTGTGTTAGGTGTGATGAAATTCAGACATTTGGGTGTTGTTCAGGATTCTGTTTTGGGGTTTTTTTTGCCTGCTCGAGCATGAAGACTTGGGTGAAAGAATACCAGAATGATAGCACAACAGTGAAACAAATCTTTTTTTGTTTTATGCCCTGCTCTTCCTGTGTTCTCGTTCAGAGATTGGCGCTATAGCTGCTACTGAAACTGCTCTGCTAGCTACTTTCAACTTCATCAGCACTTGAGCCAGTTATGTGTCATTCTGTGTAGTGATAATATTGAAGTGTGATCCCTGTGGGAGGCAGCTAATTGGCAGCATCCATCAGTAGTTTACTTGTGAGACCATTGCCTCATCCTCTGCATCCTCTATAGTTCTCAGATCATGTATATTTTATAATGCTCTTATAGATTTTCTGTAAACTAAGAATATTGCAACTAGAACGTACAGAAAATGGATGTAGACAATGCCAGGCAGGAAATTTTGTGTGTGTTGTAGTGTGTAAAAGCGAGCGAATGAGGGGAAATGTTCCATTTTACTTGCATGTCTTAAATTTGGTCCATCCTATTTTTCAGGCGTCTCTGTTTCTACAACAGAGATCCTGTTTTTGCGTGTGAGCCAAGCTTTGTACTTGATCACCCAGGAGCCAGGAAGAACACATTCTCTACATTTCTATAAAGTATTTCCTAGAAATAAATTATGTAAAATTGCAAAGTATGGCACCAATGGATGACCACTATTAATTTTTTATGCTCTTTGCATGGTTTTCTAATAAAGCCATCAACTAAATGTAATGGGGAAGCTACAAATATTCATTTAAAAAGCCTTATATTTTTGTTTTTGTTTTTGCACGTGTCCCAACATGGAAACTGACAGTGTTTAAACATGTAATACCTCTTGGATTATTTTGTTGTTGCTTTAATTTTCCATAAGTGTGAGAAAATAAAAAGACTAAACCGTTAATTTTTTCTGTTAGTGTGGTTGTCTAACAGTTTGGGTGAAGCCAGATTTACCTGTGCATAATATACATTAACAGTTGCTAGTTATGAGTCATTACTGCTTGCATATGAATATAGTTGGTATTCAGTCGTTGCAGGAAGAGTAAAGTTGGTGAAGTGAGACTGTTGAAGGCTGGGTCGCAAGTGACATTGAAGAAAAGTTGCTCATGCATTTTGTTTTTGCTCTTTCTTCAGAATACCCTCGCAGACACAGTTTGTCATCTTTCCCCCACATAAAGCAGAAGTATCATAATCAACAGGAAACCAGCAGAATAAGAGCACACATGTACACACTGTAATTCTCATGAACGTGCGGAAAACATGCATTCTCACTTACAAGACTCTTAACAACTGTAATATCACATTCTTGGGTATATGTTCACACTTTCATATAGGTGTTGAAGGTGGCAGTTGGTATTTACTCAGACCTAAAAACTCTCTCACGATCCCTCTTTATAGTCTTTAGTCCTTAAACTTTGTTATTTTTGCTCAGTTTTTGTTCAGATGCAAATTTATCCCCCTCGCCACACACTGGCATACATGTCACAGGTTTTAGTTTATGCCTTCTCTCTTCTTTATGATCTCACTTAATGAGCAAAAGCAAAAGAGACACTATGACACTCTGGGAACTCCCAAAGACTTTCAGATGTTTACTATAAATCTGTACACAAACATAGTGGGTTTTTACATTTCCAGTCTCATTTCTTAGAAGCTCTCAGAGTTCGGTCACACAATGTTTTACTAAATAACTGATTACACAGGAGCGCCATAGCTGAAGTTATTATGGCGAACATGGGAAGGAATAAGACGAGCATGTGGGGGAACGTGGCAAGTAAACGTGTGCTCATAAGCTTGAGGTGAGTCACACATGTCTGCCTTGTTGCAAGTCATTTCCAAGACTGAATCTAATGGGTGGCCGTTAGTGCAGTTGGTAGGATAAAGATTGTCACATGATCCATTTCCTGCGATTCTGGCACCGTAAGTTCAAACCCCCATTTCCTTAGCAGCCTTCCTTAGTCACAATATCTGTAAACCATCTATAACTGACACTCAGATGCCAACTTGCGGCTTCAGCGTGTGTTCGCAAAGGTGAGTTCTCAGCTCTTGTATACAATACGCATTATTTCCCAGTGTGTTACTGAATAAAGACGAGCCCAATTGTTATTGTTATTATTTTAGATGGTTTGTATTCATTTTTACCTTTTCACGAATAAGATTCCACATGATGTTTTTTTTAAAAAATACACGTGCTTTAGTTAAAAGTTAAAAAAGGAAACAATTACGATAGCGTTGATGCGACAACAGTTTGAACAAATTTCATGAGAGGCAATGTGAGTGAGTTTATGTAATGTTAAGATATAATTCTGAAGAACACATTAGTAAAAATGTGCCTTTATAGTGGTATGAGAAATAGTTTTCAGGAAATGAAAAAGGGTAAGTTACCAAAATGGTGTTGTCGTCACTAACAGTAACAGCGATGAAGTAATAACGTAATTCCCATCGCTTAAAACTGAAAGAAACTTTCAATGACTCAAAGTTGGTGGTCTGTAGATTTCACCTTTCTTTGTAATGTGGTAACTTTGTTCACCACGATTGCCATGCGGGCCATGGCGCGTGAGGAAAAAGTGCTTGTATTCACTGCTTTTGCTGTAGAGTTCATCATCTCGCAGTTTCACTTTACGGTTTTAAGTCTTTTAAGGATATTGTGTGCTACAAGTTACAAATCAGCTCCCCAGAGCATTTCACAAGATTGAAAAAAATAAGCCATAGCAACAGTTGGCACTCTGCACCACAAATCATGCATACCTTTTTCCTGTGTGAAAACTCCACCCGACACATGTGCTGCCCGCACGCGAACATCAACACAGAAATAGATTCCTGGAATAAGGGCAAAGGTATTTGTTTCACACCTTGAGATCAATCATTCGTGTTTCTGCAGCAAAATACTGTTTGTAACAGCACTTCAGACAGGACGAGAGGGTTTTTTTTTTCTTCCCTCAGTCATTTATTTTGATTTATGAGAAATGCAGGATATCAAGATGTGCTGCAAGCTGTCAGTGCAAACAATCCCTCCAACTGTACTTTAAATTGTGTATGCAACTATTAATACTAGTGCTAAGTTTAGTTGATTTTGACACGTTGGTCACCAGGACAGTTCTGCACTGATTTATTTTTTTTCTCTTTTTTTTGTTTTTGTTTTGTTTTTCTTTTGGTTTAGGTTTTTTTTTCCCTTTTCTTTTTTGGGACCAGTTGTTTTTGTTTCCAATGCTTGTGTGGGCGAGAGCAGCGTCAGTGTTTATCCATTCGGTGTGCTCATCCATGGCTGCTGTTCAGATGTTAACAAAACGCTGTTATCATGCAACCAAACAGGGTACAGCACAAAGAAATGGTGAAATGGAGTCATTAATTAAGCTTGGTTACTTTGGCCGGGCACATTAAATTTACATGACTTACTCAAATGTAAATATTTCACAGTCAAAATTTAAAAAAAAGATTTCTGACTTGCCATTGTAATATTAGAGGCTACTTTCAGCTGCTTGATTTTTTTATTTTTTTTATTAAGCGATTGGTGTGCATGCTTGTTTAGGTAAATCCAACATATATATTTTTAGAGTGTAAATAACATTTCGTTACTTCCACCAGTATATTGTGAAAAAATTGACTTGTCTTCTGTGAACCTCACAAGGCTTTTCTGAACCCTTGCACACAGGTGACGAGAGACCGCTCGCTTTCAAACATGAAGGTGAATTCCAGCAAACTAGACAACGCCACGATAAACTTTCTGCAGAATTCCGGCGCCGCCATCTCTATCTCTATTTTGTACATATTCATCACCGGCATTAACTTGGTGGGAAATGGCTTGTCCATGTGGCTTCTCCTCTTCCGTACCTCTCCCAAGTCTCCCTCCATCATCTTCATGATAAATCTTACCCTTACCGACATGGCTCTCGGTGCTGCTCTGCCCTTTCAGATCTCCTACCAGCTCCAAGGATATCAATGGAATCTGGGACCGAACATGTGCAGGTACTTTTTATTAAGCTCGGACATCAATGGGACAGGGGGATTAATTGATTAATCTGCAGAAAAAACTTGCGTTGAAGACAACAAAGTTATATAGATATATCAAGGTATATACATGTGCCACAGCTTTTCTTCTATTACACTGATTTTATACAGATATTTCAAGTGAGACAGAGCGTGACAGTCTTGATGCTATGTCAGTGAAAGTAGTCACATCTTTAAAAAGAAAATATACGAAAGTGTAGTCAAGATTCACTTCATTTTCCTGAACCTGTTACTGATTATTTTTTACTTCAGCCAGCAATTAAACAGAAAACATTTTTTCTTTCTTCCCATTTACAGTTTTGTGACCCTCGTTTTCTACTCCAATATGTACTGCTCCATCCTTACAATGATGGCCATCGGTATCGACCGCTATCTGGGCATTGTCAGGCCCATGCTGTTCAGGCGGATCAGGAAGAAGAGACTGATCGCTTTTATCAGCTGCTTCGTCATGTGGGGTTTGGTCCTGAGCACTCTGTATCCACTGATGACGACAGACCTGACCTATCGCGTTCCTCAGCTTAACATTACAACCTGTTTTGATATACTGAAGACAGAAATGCTTCCATCCATGGCGGCCTGGGCAGCCTTCCTCTTCAGCATGGTCTTCGTTCTCTTTCTCTTTCCGTTCTGTGTGACATCATTCTGCTACATCAGTGTCATACGCAAGCTGGCCAGTGATTCAAAGACATCTCAGAAAAAGAGAGCAATCCGTCTGGCAGTCATTGTTCTCTTAGTCTTCACATTGTGCTTTGGTCCAAACAACATCCTCCTGCTGATACATAGCGTGCTGAGACTCTACTATAAGAAGTCTATCTACACAGCCTACAAGCTGTCTCTGTGCTTCAGCTGTCTAAATAGCTGCCTCGACCCATTCATTTACTACTTTGCATGTAAGGACTTCAGACAAAAGCTGAGAGAGATAATACATCTGCAGAGTTTGAGCAGTGGAGATTCAATGAAGATGGAAAATAAAGAGACTTTGTACTCTGCGCAGTGAGGTCAAGAATGAGCACAGAGAAAGGTGTTTTTGAAACCACAATCACCACAGCATAGAGCGAGAATGGGTCAAAGGGGAAGAAAGACTTCAGAAAGGAAGTCAGAGCGGGTTACTCTGAGTCAGAGAAGCTCCTTGTCTCAAGTCAAATCTCAAAATCATTAGTGCCAGTTGGGTTTTTTTGTTTGTTTTTTTGTTTGTGTGTGTATGTATAACAGAATAAATGAACATGAAGAGCAGCTGTGTGTCTTGGGTAACTAGCTGTCATCCCTTCATTAGCTTTCTATTTATTTTAAAGAATCTATCACCTCATTACAAAGCACATTTGTCATAGGTGGAAAACCCTGTTTCCCCTCATTATTTCTGATCTGACTTTAACAAATGCAGGATTTGTTAAGTGGATTTTCCAAGCCAGACACAAATCTGATCATGAGCTGGAATAATCCCAATCCACAAAAGACAGACCCCCACAATCACTCGGGCACAAAGAGTTACTGGCAAAAGCCTGGTGCCACAAGCCACAGGACACCCCAGGGGTCCCTTGTCCTTGCGCCACTGCACCAGAAATGGTTTGGCTGACTGATATGGACCTACACAATCTTATACAGGTAGTTTTAATGATGTAGTTTATATGTATACATCTATATTTTAACAAACATCCATATAACAGTTGTTTTTAGAATTTATGTAGCATGTGCAATTATGTAGCATAAATCAAATATGTTGTCTGAGCCGCACTGTTTTTGACTTTGTAACAATGTATCTCATTGTTTTTTTTAAATACCTTTTCTCTGTACTGTGTGTGTATATATATATATATATACATATATATATACATATATATATACATATATATGTATATGTATATGTATATGTATATATATATGTATTCTTGGAAAAAGTTAGGACTTTTCATTCTCGACCGAAATTAACAGTACCACCACCATATGACTCAAATTACCAAAACACATCAGTAAAAACTTGTCTGTAATTTTGTGGTCATCTGAAAGCTAGAAGAAAACTGATGGTTTATGTGTGTATGAAAGATGCTATTCAACACTGTAAAACA